AGAGGAGAGGAGAGGAGAGGAGAGGAGAGGAGAGGAGAGGAGAGGAGGACAAACCTGAACTCAGAACACATACAGACAGAACACTATCAGAGGCAAATGCCAGCAGTAAAGAATGACAGCGGTAAGGAATGACAGCGGTAAGGAATGACAGCGGTAAGGAACGAAAGGGAAACAGGCATGGGGCACAGAGGGTTAAATGATAGGCTGCTGAGGACAGAGCACATGAGGAAAAGCAAGAAGGTGCTCTCTCTGTGAGTGACTGGAAGGAGAGCAATTGCAGAGGTAAGAGAGAAAGGCGATGAATAAACCGGGAAAGGGATTCAGGAAGGAGGCGAGCTAAGAGACAAGTGCAGGCATGGCCATCCAGTTGCCAGAGTCACCAGGTTACTCCGCTGGGCAGGAGGAAGAGCCACAGCTTTTCCCCAAGAGGGGGCCATCGAACAGACAGGAGCAGGCAATTTAAGTAGCTAGCTACTGGGGGAAAAGGGAAAAGAAAAGAAAAGAAAAGAAAAAATAGATGGAAAAGGTGAGATGCAGGCAAGGGAAAACCCAAAGGAGACACTGGCCCAGAAACCTTTTTAACTTTCTGTAAGAATCTTCAAGGCCCCAAACTAGGCCAAGATTCTGACTGACATTTCTGAGCTCGCCAGCTGCTGTTTCCTTGAGAGGAATCTGACAGGAAGGCATAGAAATGCAAGCCAGCCCTGCCAGCTCTGGAAATAAATAAATAACTACCCGTGTTGTACACTCCTCAATGGGGGCAGAAGCCTACGGGGCAAGAAAGCCCACAGAGGAGGAGGGACCAGCCTGCAACTTTCCCCCAGGTATGTCACCGAGCTGATTCTGCATGCTGCTTTCTCCTTTATTTGTCCCCTGGCTGTTCCTGCCTCCTCCAGCTGTCTCTCTTTCTTCTTTTGTGAATTTTTGGGGAGCCCTGTGGGTGATCTGCCTCTGTTATGTGAAGCCAGCAAGCAAGGCAGATCTATGCAAGCAGGTGAAGCTCCGGGTTCCGCATCTCAAACAAGCCTGGGAGGGGAGTGGATGAGAGACAGGCCTCCCCACCTGTGGGGGTAGTGCATGGGGATGACTTGTTAGCTGGTACTGAAGTGGTGTTAGCTGGTACTCTGTGTGTAGCAGCTTGAAGCAAAGGCAAAAGTGAGAGGATGTGGGCCAGGGAACATCCAAGGACAATGAAAGGTGCCGTTTCCTGAGTTCAACTGTGGGGAGAGATTCCTACATAATCATCCCAAGGGGCTGGCTGGCACATTACCTCAGGAAGAGCTAAAGGGTAGGGTGTTATATGTGAGGGATAAGAACTCAGCATCATGTGACACTGAATTTGCAGCATGCCTTTTAAGTGACTAAGAAAATGTTGTAAATGTGTATTGATTTTTTTTCAAAGAACTCGAAGGATGTGTGTGTGTGTGTGTGTGTGTGTGTGTGTGTGTGTGTGTGTGTGTGTGTGAAACGAATGTACCTCAAATACCCAATCACTCCACAGGGCTGAGTTCTAAATGAGCCCATAGACATCCCCTCTGAGACAATGTGGGCTATTACAATGTTTTGAAAGCTAAGAAAACAAATCCCTGAACCATGTAGTTCTTTGAAAAACTTGGAGCAGAACTCAATGTTCCAGACTTGCCCCTTGGACTTTGAACAACTGTTAGTCCTCCTTCAATTCAGTGACTTGGACAGAAGGAGGGTGTGTGTGTGTGTGTGTGAGAGAGAGAGAGAGAGAGAGAGAGAGAGAGAGAGAGAGAAATTTGAAACTAATGATGTTTGCTGTCACTCTGTATTGTTACATTACTGTACTATATATTAATCATTATTACCCCTCTGCAAATACCATATGAGGACATGTGAGCCAGGGGCCTTCTGCTGAGCTATCTAAAAAAAAAAAAAAAAAACCAAAAAACAACAACAAAAAAAAACTATTGTCTCCTTTTGAACCTGTTCTTCACCAAGCCCCTAACCTTCCCAGATGGGATTCCCCTGTCTTTGGCATGTTGACTGGCTGTATCCTCAATGTTAGAGGATGGCGTGTTGGCTGACTGTGTCCTGGCTGTTAAAGGATGCCGTGTTCTCTGACTGTATCACTGTTTAAGGAACCTCTAAAGCTTAGACTCTAAGCACATCTGAGACAGACGGCTCCTAGTGGCTTTTCTCCCTGCCTGTCACCTCATTTGTAAAAGGTCAGAATGTAAGGTCAGTTTCCTTGCCTTGACCGGGACAGGATCAGAAACACTGACATAGTAGTTTATCGTTGTGATTCCCAGACCAGCACCATCAATACTCCTTGGAGACATGCTATAGTTTCTACTTCCAGATCCTACTCCAGACTTCCCAAACGTGGGACTTGGTCACTTGTGTTTAAGAGGGGTGACCAGGAAACTGTGACACTGAATTACAAAGTCAAGCCTTTTAAAGGTGCGGTTTCCTGAATGCACTGCTTTCAGATTGCGTTTCAGGTATGATGGCATGGCCTTCAAGGCCAAATGTGCCAAAGGAGACTCTTCCACAAACGGTACTCTCTGTGTTCGGGTTGCTTGTTTGTTTTGCCTACAAAATGGGAGTGTTTTTAACAGAAGCTGTTTGTTACCGTGCTTAGAGCAGCATCTACACACATATCGCTTCGCTGGGTCAGTGGGCATTTTCTCTGTTTCATTCTTGCTGTGTGGTAAGCCTTAAAAGACAGATTGAGAAACCAAAAAAAAAAAAAAATGAATCCATGGAGATGCCAGTGATCTAGCAGTGAGACAGGTGTGCTTTCCAGGTGCGCAAGGAATTAGCGTGCAACCGAGGCCTGTGTGATAGGCCATATGACCAATGACAAACATTAATGAAGAAGAAAAATCTGATAGTGTTTCGTGGGACAAGGAACTTTGGAAGTTACGGCGGGAGAACTGAGACTTCAGGACCAGCTTGGGATGCATAGTGAAACTGTGTCTCAAGAGAGGCAATGCTACCTCTGGGGATGAGCAAAGAGGGGCAGTGTGGGAGGCCAAGATCCCAGTAAGAACTGAGCACTGGGAACACTGGGAAGATACCTCACTAGCGGTGTGTGTAGTCTTTCTGTTACCAATATGTTAACCACTCCTTGTAAAGAGGGCCATGGTGTTTCAGAGTTCACCTATGTATCACCATGTGTGCAGAGATTCTTCACTAACCCAGACTGAAACTTGCCTGCATTGTCTTGAAGTACATAGTTTTCAGTATTAATTTCATGACTTTAGAATCCAGTCTCTCCTTGATTGTTATCAATGTTTTTCAAAGTCCTCCCACAGTTTGCAACTAAACAAAATAGGCGTGGTTGCCAGTGTCCCTCACCAATGTGCTCCCCAGCCAGCCTAGAGATTCTGAGACTACAGTTCTGTCAGAGTGTAGTGCTCGGTGGCTCTAACTGTTAGCAAGTCTGGGAAATGTTAGCATATATGAATGGATGTGTGTGTTGGGTCAGAGAGAAAAAAATCAAGTTACACCTACAACTTACCTGCTGTGTGATTTCTCTATGGATCTTAGCCATTTTCTGTCCCTAAATTCATTAACACGCTTAAGACGGGGCTTTGTTTTGTTTTGTTCATTTATTTTTCTTAATTTATGTGCCACATTTTGATTACATTCTCTCCTTCAACTCCTCTCAGATCCTCACCATCCCCGCATCTACCCAACTTCATGTTCTTTGTCTCAAAAACAAAAACAAAGACACACACACACACACACACACACACACACACACACACACACACACACTGCTCCTAAGCATGCCCCGGACTTGGGGGCTTGATATACCCAATGTCACTCCTCTGGAGAAAATTAATGTCCCCTTCCAGCAGGCATCAGTTACAAACAGCTTCTTGTTTAAGAGTGCATCCTTGGGCCCACTTCCCCTTCTGTTTGACAATGTTTGTTTTTTTTATTATTATGCTATAAAGTGTACCTCACAGGACTGGTGTAAGCTTAAATATTCCAAGGCAAAGCCGTCACATAGTGTTGACTTCTTCTCATCCCTTTGCCCTATCCTCCCCAAAATCTCCAGCTCTGAGTCACCTAGGTGAGAAGCAGGCAAGGACAACAGATTAGTGTAATGCCACCAACACTACCCTGTTCTAGGCAAGGTAGCAGAATGCCTAGGGGGAGAGAAGGAAGGCTCCTCGCACCCTGCACTGCTCCTAAGATGCTTATGGAAACTTTTTTAATTTAATAAACTTTGAATAAAAAAAAAAAGGACTCATACTCGTGAGTGAATCAACATTCAGAACTGGTCAGTGCTTGAAAAATAGCAAGATTTCCTGGCTGAGCCCCAGGAAAAAGAGAATCCTATCACCACAAAGAATTCACCTGCCTTGAGAAAGGGGCTCTGACTTGTTTCCTACCCCCTCAGCTTGATGATGGCAGTCCCAAGTGACTTAAACTCTAGAATGGCTAGCGTTTCATGAATAATCACCAAGGTCGCCAGAAGTAGATTCCAGAGCATAAGGCAAAGTCATCAGACATTGGAGTGAGGCCTCTGTATAGGCCACCCATGCTGCAGGCAGGAGTAGACTCAGTCTCCATGAAAGAGAGCCACTTCCATCCCAGATCTTGATGGGGCTCAGAGAAGGAATCAGGAACACAACTATGCCTTCACTGGAAACCCGGAGCATCAGCTGCAGGCAGCAGTCTGCACGGCCTAGGTTTCCTCTTCTCATCCAGCGAAGGGCTGACAGTCTAACGTCAGATCTGTCATCAGAGAGCAAACGCCTCGCAGCCAACAAAGGGAGCCACTGAATGTCTTACCAGATAAGTCACTTGTACAGGTCCCCAAAGTGAGATCGGTGCCCCGGAAACTCAGCACGCAGGATAATTCTTGTTAGAAATGATACTGATGAAGACTGTTCTTCTCGACTTCTCTTCAGACTTGTGAAAAATGTTTTAGGGGCTTTTTTAAGACAGACCAGAATTCTTAGGAGAACATCTAATAATAGTTAAGCTTTCCTAAATACTTATGAATAACTCCATATATAAAAAATAATTGAATGCCAGTTAAATTCTTTTAAGTAGGTCATGCATAAAGACTCCCACATAGTGTGCATACGTAGTCACTACATTAGCAAGCAACATATCAAATACTACTATTATTAATAATAAGACCATTTATTAAACTAATGCTATGTTCACGGCACTTTACACTTTCCAAAAGTTGAAGTTTCTTGTTGAATAAGCATTATTATTCCCACTTTACAAGCCAGGAAACTTAGGCTCCAAAGGATTAGGTCTTCATCCTTATATACCCTGCACCAAATAGACTTGAAGATTACAACTGCGTGTTGTTCTATAATCTGGTCTTCTCCCTGTCTCAACTCCTCCCTGATTTTCCCCAAATCTCAGAGGTGTTCCAAGGACAGTCTCTGTCTCTGTAAGTCAGTGTTTGCAAACTATTTGTGTTCAACTATAAAAATATTTAGCTCGGGAAAAAAGGTAGAACAAGAGCCCTGGCTGTTGTTTGTGGATCCGGCATTCTTTCACTGCTGCTTGAGCCCTGCTGCTATTCTATGCCATTTGCATCTTAGAAACAAAAGAAAGAGCAGTTTAGAATTTGATACTTTTAAGTAATTTCAATTGTGGGACAGAGTTCGGTGGTGGGGAATAAATCTCGCTTTCAGTAGCATGCTGAGTGGCGTTTCATATTGCCATTAGCCTGTTATCTGGAGAAACTCAAGACCTCCCCGTATATCATGTCGTCAACCTTCAGCGCCTTTGGGTGGGCAGATGGGGTTACATCATCACTACTTTCAGATAAGTGTCCTGGCATCTGGGGTAGAGATGAGGAGAAAGGTGGGATCTTGCCAATACCACACAGTGCACGTGTGTCTAGATGACATTCCACATCTCACTATTATCTTCAACACCACCCATATCAAAGGCAGAAGATTCAGGCAGATAGAAACTAATTAGATGATCAACATGCAGTTGTCAATGCCCTTTGTCCTGTGCCAGCCCCAGAGAAGCATGTGCCTTCATGTTCCCCATCCTACAATTTTTCATACCAGTTTTCTTGTCTTGAAGGTATTGGTTTTGTTACTGTTTCTTCATTTTTACCAGTCTGTCATTGACAACATTTTCGAAAGCATCTTATGAAGGTCCTTTCTTGCATCCGAAGTTAGATGTCCACCAAAGTACAACAAGAATGGAGATGATCCTTTCACTGCAAAATCCTACAAACTTCCTCTTGACTCTCAAAATTCTCTGGGTATTCTAAACTAATAAGAATGTCAGCTTCCTGAAGTCATGAACTATAGAGTTAGTGGTTATTAAAATTTTTAATTTTTTCCAGAGGATTTTGCAGTAATTTTTTAGGTAACACTTTGGCCATGTGGGTTTGTACTTGACAAAAACATACAAAATTATCTTCAATGATGGTTACACTTCGTGGTTATCCCAAACAGTCTCCCAGGAAATTTTCATTTGTGTTCCTACGTGAACTCATCACCATTGAGCTGGGTCGTGAATAGTTAAGTCTCATAAAGCTGGCCCTTAGAGTTCTTAGGAACAGAAAACATAGTGGCCCCTCTCGGTCCTGCAGACCTCACTTCTGACAACCTACATGCCAATCATTTTGGAAGATTCTGATGGGACAGATTTGACAAGTTAAGATGAAGATTGGCCATGCTCTTAAGTACTGTGTCGCTCTGAACAGAGGAGACATTATTACTTTTCTCAAAGTCCGAGCAACATCTCCTTTGACCTGAGCAGCCCCGCTGCAGCCATCAGTCCTTGACACTGATCTGGGTAGCTCACTTCTCCAGATATGACGGGAAGCTCCAGTGTTTGCTCACTTACATAAAGTTTGGACTTGACCCTGGAAGAATGGTGTCTTTTTAGAGCAGGACCTTAAATAGCAATTGGATTAGAATAGATTAACTGAGTTACTGGATCGTTCCCAATGTCAACCAGAATGGTTTTGACCCAGATACTTTCCTACACACCTAAGAAAGCACGATTTCTAAGCCAGTCAATACCAGCACCCCAAACCCAAAACTGCAGGAGAATAAAAATACATGGCATATAAAATCCTCAGTCTTCCTTCCTCCTTTCTTTCCTTCGCTCCTCTCAACACCTCTTTCCTTCCAAGCTCACATGAAAAGAACCTGTATGGACCCAAGGCTGTTCCTCCAATCTGGTTAGTTTTTAAAAGAGTTGCCATTGGCATATAAGCAAATTCACTTATTTCTAGAGCCACATCTTCCTCATCTCTAAAACCAGAAAGAAGGGGGAAAGTAAAGGGGGCAGGGGACAACTACTTTACATAGACATGAGGACTCAAGGATCATGCAGATGGAAAGCGTCGAAAATGATCCTGTCTCAGAAAGCATGTCTGAAAAAGAGTTGCTCATCATTATTATGGTTCTCTGGCTGTCCACTCTGAGGCCTGCTTCTCCTCTTAGCTCACTTCTGTATTTCCTGGCAGAGAGTTTTCTGCCACGAAGCTCAAACCCTTAATTTTCCCCAGCCAGGGTAACCAGTCCAGACCCTGAACGGCTCAACAGCTGCCAGTGTCCATTGCTCTCCTACCCAGTACTTACATCTTGTGGGACAGGTGATGGGCCGCGGCAGCAGAGTCTGAACAGACAGATCCTTCCCACAATGAACAATTGTGTTGGATTGCGCTGTCGGCAGCTGCAGCCTGTCAGCACATACCAAGCACCCATACAGTAGGAAGCACAATAGCGCTTGAGCCAGCATCGAAGCTGAGCGGTTCTCTTTATGCTTGAAATCACTCCTTGTTTTAATGTTCTATCGCGTTTCAAATATTCAAACAGAATCATTTCAAAATCCACCCTGCAACGTCAGCAAATCGATTGGTCAATAATAGTGACAACAGAGCCAAAAGGCTCTGAGCTGAAATCTCCAGTGAGACTTGGAACCATTGGACGTTGACCAAAGTGTCGGGGAGGAAATTTGTTTTTGACGAGCACCACTAGTACTTGAAGCGACTTACTCCAGGATGGTTTTCTGGGATTCAGGGCCCAGGGGGCCTGAGCAGTTCTCACCTATGCAAGGAGCAAAGCGACTTTGCCTTCTGACGCAACGACTGCTTCGGACACCACTGCTTCCCGAGGCCACATGCTTCTTTATATCCCCATAGATATCACTGCGCTATGGAATGTAAGGAAGTGTGTGGTTTTGGCAAGTGCTTCTTCAGAGCCCATGGCTTGACCCCGAGAACACGCCTGTGGCTTCTTCCTTCCACAGTCACATTTCCTGCCTGCAGCTGCCCTTCTCACCAGCAATCCTCCACACTGTCTTCCCCCTCCACAGTCTTCTCCCTCAGTCCTGGGTTTCTGGCCACCGACTGTGGCTTCCCACCCCAGCCCTTCTGCACCAGCCTTCTTGATACTGCTCCTCACAGTCAACCTATGGGGAGAGATCCCATCCTCCGGAATTTCTCAGAGGATCACCTCTCTTCCTCCAGCTCCTTCCTCTGCTCAGGTTGCTCCTGAAATGGGTGTTTCTACCAAGAAAGCTGAATGGCAGTTCTAGGTAACATCTATAGCAGTCGCCATGTGAGTGACTTGTGTTATAGAGAGTAGACACGACTGGGTTCAGAAGTCTGCAGCCCGGGCAGAAGACGCCGTACCTCCTGGTCCTGCTGTGCTGTTGTTTCTCCTCCACGGGCCCCTGCCAGTGTGTTACCTCTGGACCACTTGTGGAAGGAAGGCGGAGATGCTAAACAATGATGCAGTCATCTAACGGCCTAACTTCCTTTGTTCTCAACCCGGTCCCCTGTGTTCCCATTCTGACTCCCCTGTAGCTAAGCTGACACCAGGAACCAGGTAGACTCTAGAGAGAACACCTGAGGAGGCACCCTTGCCCAGCTTACTGTCAGAAAGATGAAAGCCTCTCCCTTTCTTGCTTGAGTCCCAGTTCCATGTTGGCTTCACCCTTTACACCACTCTGCCTCTTTATTTTAGAATGATGTGTCAGACAAAGGTGGGGACTGCATTAAACTTGCAGCCTAAGTTCATCAGTAAAAGACAACACCAAGCATTTGAAAACCCATACCCAGAAGCCCAGGAGGCATGGATGAGCATTACTGGGCAGCACAGGAAGAGTTCATGGGAGAAGAGAAAGAGGCAGGGCTGCATGTATTTCCTTGACACATAGCAAAGCACTCAAGGACATCATCACACAGAACACAGCTCACAGAAGCTCTCTCCTGCTCCCAAGTGGGATATACTGATATTGGTGGCTACCTGTGTCCCCCTTTCAGGAATCAGGTGGCACCCAACTCATCAGTGCATGCCATCCTATACTTCTGAGGATAGGTAGGAAGATGGAAGGGCAGGGAGACAGGCTAGAACTGGGCCAGCTGCAGGGCTAAGCACAAAATCTTATTGCTTTAGATCAGTGCCCGGCAAACTGGATAGCGCTATTAGACTTACTGAGTTGTCACACTTGAAGGATTTCTGATGTCTAGGCTGTGGTGATCAGGGATGCATCAAAGAAGGACCCAGTTCAGACCTTCACTGTGTGAAGGCCAAGAAGCCCTGCGTTTGAGCATGAGGTGTCTGACACTGGTAATTTCCAAAGTAAATCTCTGTCCTCTTTATTTTTGAGATTTTAGTCTTCTTTATACAAAATAACTGAGTGGTTCAAATTGTACTTCTTTCCAATTACAGCCTGTCTTTTTTTTCTAATCTTACCTGCTATGCCCATATCCTTTTTCTACCCTGGTGTTTGGTCTCCTATCACCTGCTCTGAAATCAGGAATATGTGATATGCATGGTTGTGTTGCTGAGGCTGGATCAAAAAAACACGCGTAAAGAGCAAGGAAAAGATGGGAAAACCATGTTCAGAATTCTTCCGTGTGCTTCTTCAGTAATAAACCCAGACAGTCAGGCCGTCCTCTGCCCCACAGTTGCTGGTCTGCTTGTTCCCTAACATGAACTCTGGATAAGATAGACACAGGCCAAGATGGTAGGTAGCAGCCACAGGACACCTGTCATTAGGAAGAGGAGGGTGGAGAAGGTAAGATTGTGACTGCTGAACCAGGAGGATTCACACCAATGAGGTGTGACTCAAAACACAAAAAAACCTCAGCGTTATCCTGCACAGACTATTCTAGACTCCCGCCATATTTTGTGATAGCTATTTTTCTCATCACTACATCTGAGTATGGTTTTTACCCAGCTGCCCTTTCTGTAGGGCCTTGTCGAGTATCTTGTTGATTCTCGACAAGCCTCTCAAACTAGAGTCCATCTGAAGAAGTCGGCTGGCTAGCTACCTCACTTCTAGGCCTGACTGGTAATTTTAACACATTCACAGAGGAATAAAAATCCTTGCCGATGAATGAATGGCACACTCACAAGGAAAGAGGGAAGTTCTGGGCCTCGAAAGCAGTCAGAAATGTCCCTCAGACTCTTCCACAAACCCTGTCAGGCTCCACTGTGCACCCAAGGGATTCAGTACATTCTTGGTTACTATTAAAATTCACAGGAAACAGACACACTAGGCGTGTTCCGCACTGAACGGACAAACATGCTGACATTCTAAGATGCTATTTAACGTCTCATAGCAAATAAATAAATAAAATCAAGAACTCATCAGTGGAATTTGAACCCAGACAAAGTGAATCACAGCTACATATTTTCTTCTTAGTGGCTTCTATTTTTCAGGAAGAGAAAACAAAATGTCAACAATAGCCCCAGGGGAGAAAGTTGGTTTTTTCTACAACCACTCCATCTAGCTTTTCTTTCTGCCTCTTCCCTTCCTCCTCACACTCCCTCGAATCAGCACCTTATGAAGATAGCCACACTACATTTCTGGGGAGAGTCTCCTTCTTCACCACATTTGATTTCACTTCCTTAGAAAAAGGCAAAACCATAGGGTACCCTTCTAGTTCAATGGTTCTCAAACTTTAGATGCCTCAGAATCACTCAAAGGGCAGAGTAGATCATGAGCTTTGGGACCCCATTCCTGCACGTCTTGGGGTGGTGATAAATGCTACTTTTCTTTTGAAGGGTCAATTTGTATGTTCTTACATACTGGAATCCAAGCTTTTCCATGGTCTACAAGAACCAAAGGTGTCTCAGACTCCCTCGGTAGACTCTCTAGTTCAAGTCTACCTATTCTTTCAAACCAAACAACTGTTATGTCTATTACTGGGAGAAAAATGAAGATAGTATATTCACACAATCAACTATCAAACAATATAAATTAGTGAATTGTGGTTATCACATTAATATGCATAAACCTTACAGATATCATTTAAAGTAAAAATACCAAGCCACAGATGAATGTTTCCATGATACTTGAAATATATTGTTTCAGAACATGTGCCTAAATGATAAAAGTTTAGAATAACATCTAATTTATAAGAAAACAGGAAACTTGGTATTGTAGTTTACTCTATATTATCTCTACCTACTTTCATTCATTTTTAAGATTAAACCTGACACATTCATAGAGACTGTGATGCACATTTGTATGACATATACAAATACACTTGATAATGTAAAATTTATTTTAGAAGATGAATGAAAAGATATTCTATTGCTTTCTACATATCCATATTCTATAGTTGCATGTCATTTTTGTCCCTAGTGTTTCAATTTGAGGGAAAGAATAAGAGCTAGAGGGGGAAAAAAGCAAACAAACTTGGAATGCAAACTACAGACTGTGAGACTGTTTTCAAGTCATGTGAGAGGTGGGTCAGGGCAGTGTAACCTCTGGGAGTTCATTCATACTGATGTGGATCTCTCTGTTACAGGTTTGGACATTCCAGGGACTTCACACAATAGAGACTGCAGTCATCTCCCAAGGGAGTGGCCCCCTGCTCTGGCTGGTCAAACGGAACCAAGTCCGTCTTCCTGAGAGGTTTGGTCCCCTTCAACCAGCTACAGCAGGGCTGGCAAAGCCCAGTCCTTGGAGAAAGAGAAGAGAAGAGAAATTAGCTGCTACAGCCTTCCTTACAAAAAGCAATTCTGGTTTTGTCATTGTAGTCTCAGGCTCTTAGGAAGAAAGAAGAAAAAAAGAAAACCTAGGTTCAAAAGAGGTCATGGGTCTCATGCTCAACATGCAGAATCCTCTGCCTTGGCACCCACAGCCACAGCCATGCACACACCTTTCAACCACAATGGTGATGCTAAGACTGGAGCTTGGGCCAAGCTTGCACCATCCTGGGGCAGAACATGATACATAGGAGACAGGTCTTCTGCTCACAAAAACACAGAAGCATTAGAAGGTCATTGACCATGGAAATCCAACACAGCTCAATGGAATTGCTGGTCAGAACATAGTTGGTCCAAGATGTAATTCTTAAATAGTTCATTGGATCTGTGAATCCACGAAGCCCAAAGACTTTATGTGCATTGAAACTAAAATACACAGGGAGGGTCTACAAAACTTCCAGTAGTTTATACCTGTAATAATGTGAAACCCTCGCTGCCAGTTTGAATCCTGCCCCTCTTGTCTATTAGCTGTGATATGACCTGAGGCAAATCACCTCCATTAACTCTATAAAAATATGAGTTGCTTCATCAGTTAAATAAAAATATTGACACCTATCTCATCATTGCTCTAGGACGTTAAAAAGATGTTTGTAAACAGCCAGCAATAAGCATTCAAATGCTTATCTTGCTATTTTGAGTGTCAATAATACAATGACGACGCTGCACCCAGAGTCATGGCACCTTGGAGAGGAAGACAATTTTAAAAGATAAAATTTCCAAAATAGACACAGGGTGTATTTATATTCCCACTACTGA